GTATATTTTTCTGGAAGATTTCAATCTCTGCTGCTAATACAGCAGGGAAGCAGGGAAGGTGGTTCGCAGAGGAAATAGGAGCGCATTGTTGTTGTTAGTTGCGAAGTCGTGTCCGACCCATCGTGACCCCATGGACCACGTTCCTCCAGGCCTTTCCGTCCTCTGCCATCTTCTGGAGTCCATTGAAGCTCACGCCTGCTGCTTCAGGGACTCCATCCAGCCATCTCATTCCCTGTCGTCCCCTTCTTCTCTTGCCCTCCATCTTTCCCAGCATTAGGCCCTTCTCCAGGGAGTCCTTCCTTCTCATTAGGTGGCCAAAGGACTTGAGTTTCAACTTCAGGATCTGGCCTTCTAAAGAGCAGTCGGGGTTGATCTCCTCCAGGACTGACCGGTTGGATCGCCTTGCAGTCCAGGGGACTCGCAGGAGTCTTCTCCAGCACCAGAGCTCAAAGGCCTCCATTCTTTGGCGCTCAGCCTTTCTCATGGTCCAACTTTCACAGCCATACATTGCAACTGGGAAAACCATGGCCGTGACTATATGCATGAGCGCATAAGTATACATAAAAGACTGTTAATTGGATCGGTGTCAACTGCGAAAGACTGGGTACGCATGCAGAAGGTCCAATTAAACTTGATTTATTGCCGAGATATTTATGCGGAGGAATCATCTCAACTAATGGTTAGAACCTGCTAGCTAGGAGTTAGATAAGGAGCAACTGAATTCACGGGAAGTAGGACTTACGTTTGCTCGTGCCTACGTAGGGATTCTAGGCTGAGCCCTCTTTTGACCCCACCCGGCCCCAGATTCAGCCAGCCCTTCTCCTACCGCTAGTCCGTTATAACCAGAATTTTATTAAGATCGCAAGTGGAGTCTTTCGAACTACCCTTTTCTTTTCTCCTTTCAATATTTTATTAATTTTTTATAGCCACAAATCCTTAATATTTCATCAGCAGCGTATTGTCTGGGTTCCAATGTTTAGCTGGCCTTTCTCTCTACCTCATTTTTCTAGCCATTGATAAAATGTATCCCATGTTCAAAAGTAATCTGAATCTTTTTTTTCTCTTGCGTTTTTAGTGGTCAGTCTGTCCATTTCTGCACAATCTAAAATTTTCTTAATTCTCTCTTCCTCCGCTGGTAATTCTTCATCCTTCCAATGTTGAGCGAGTACAATTCTCGCTGCCGCTAATACACGTAACATCAAATATGCACGTTCCCTCTCACGATTTCCTACGATTATACCGAACAAAAATAATTCTGGCTTAAAATCTATGCGTTTTTTTAGCCATTTTCTCTAACCATGTATGTATTCTTGACCAAATTCGTTTGGCTTTAGGGCCTGTCCACCAAAGATGATAGTATGTGCTGGCTTTTTGTTGAACTACCCTTAACTGTAGCTTCCAAACAGTGGGAAGAGGTAGTCTCAGGGTGGGTGAAGAAAGACAGTGGGAAAGTTCTGAAAACAGACAGAATCGGTCTTCTTATAGAAGACGCAGATTGTTGGGGGCAATATAGGCTGTCTCTGTAAACCGCTTACAGGGGGCTGTGAAGCACTATGAAGCAGTATATATAAGTGCTGAAAATTATACCTACATGCTTTTAGCTTCCATCCATAACACATCTACAGTCAGACTCTGTACTGCTTTATAGGCTTTTCAATGTAGCAACACTGGTAACTCAGAAAAGTTGATTTTGGGGTACCCCAGTGGAGAATAGAATAGAAATAAGAATAGAAATAAAAATAAGAATAAGAATAGAATAGAAATGACTAGACTAGACTAGACTGGACTGGACTGGACTGGACTAGACTAGACTAGACTAGACTAGACTAGACTAGAATAGAATAGAATAGAATAGAATAGAATATAGAATAGAATAGAATAGAATAGAATAGAATAGAATAGAATAGAATAGAATAGAATAGAATAGAATAGAATAGAATAGAAAATATGGAATGGAATAGAATAGAAATAAGAATAGAAATAAAAATAGAAATAAGAATAGAATAGAAATGAATAGACTAGAATAGAATAGAAATAATAGACTAGACTGGACTAGACTGGACTAGACTGGACTAGAATAGAATAGAATAGAATAGAATAGAATAGAATAGAATAGAATAGAATAGAATAGAATAGAATAGAATAGAATAGAATAGGAATAGAATAGAATAAGCTGGAAGGGATCTTGGAGGTCTTCTAGTCCAGCCCCTTGCTCAAGCAGGAGAACCTGTATCATCTCAGACAAGTGACTATCCAGCCTCTTCTTGAAAACTTGCAGTGTTGGAGCATTCACTGCTTCTGGAGGCAGGTTGTTCCACTGGTTAATTTTTCTCACTGTCAGGAAGTTTCTCCTTAATTCTAGGTTGCTTCTCTCCTTGGTTAATTTCCAACCATCATTTCTCGTCCTTCCCTCTGGTGCTCTGGTGAACAACGTGACCCCCCTCTTCTTCTTTGTGGCAGCTCCTCAGATACTGAAATAACTGCTATCATGTTTCCCGTT